GGTGCAGTGCCCCTCCTCAGATCATCTGATCTGTTCCTCTCATTTTGGGGGTATCCTCTGAATACTTCCGGGGAATACGCATATGTTTCCCTTGCAACAGTCCCTCCTCCATTTCAATGTGGGATTCAGGCTAATCTTGTGAGAAGAGGGAGAGCATTTTATCAGAAGTTATAACTTTCCTAAATGAAACATGTATTTCTAATAGGTACTTCCCTCTGCTTACACTTCTCAACCGTTCCCCCACAATCGTCCAGTGCATGCGTCTTCTGCCAAACTTTGTTTGGTAGTGATGCATAGAGGGAGTCGCATGCGTCGCGTGATTATAGTGCTCTCCTATTGGTGGAGAAGTGACACATGATGATTTGCATGAGCGACATGTTGGAACTTTGGATTCCAACAGAGGGATGATGAAGGCTTGTAGCATGAATTTCTGAAAAAAGTTAACATACAGAGGTCAGCACAAAATGATAAAAGCTAATATTGTGAGTAAAGGAAAGTAACTATTAGAAATACATTTTCATTTAGGAAAATTATAACCTCTGAGATAATATCCCACCTCTCAATCAGATTTAGCTATCTACCTCCTGTGCATGCCAGAAATACTTGCATGTCTCTATTCTTGAGACAGCTACTACCTACTTTCATATGATTTTACGTGAACTGTGCTAGTGCATAATGGTGTCATCATGTGACATGAGACCAACCTCTTACAATAGGAGTGTAACACACCTCCATGCACAATTACTCTCACTGTTATGCATTTACACTTGTGAACTTTATTCTTTTCCTTAGCACTGAAGTACAGAGACATGTTTCAATTTACTGAGATTAGTATGAGTAATGAAACTTGAGTTTCATTGTACTTAGTTTATCATAAACTCACAGTTTAATAGTACTTCAACTAATTCTTGTGTGACTGAAGAATTTACTCACACAGTAGATACTTCCAACATGGCATCCGGAGGGAGGTTTGTTAATTTGGGAAAAAGTGACAGCCTTAGTTCACTGAGTTGTGAGATCCATTATGCAGCCTGAGACTGCATAGGATAAATTTAAAAGCCTTTTTTCCCCTCCCACAGGCTTTGCCTTAGGAACCTCACTTCAGGTTGAGGAGAGTCCTCATATTTATTCACTTTTCTTAATTTTTCTGGTATGCACTGTCTCATGACATTTCATGATCTATACTTCATAACCCTAATCCTCACAAGTATTTGGTATTCCCTCCCTCCCTTAACATTGAAACACAAGTATTCCAGTAAAATTTTCAGGGGAAGCTTTTTCCCTTCTTTTTTCCACTATGACCCATTCTACCTCTTCTGCCCTTTCCCTATTGACCTGATTCCTTATTAGGTAGAGATATCCTTCTTTTTCAAGTATGTCTTCCTAATTCTTTTCTCCATGATTTTCACCTTAGCCCCTTCCTTCATCCTGAAGTTTTTGGTGGTCTTCCCAATTCTCTGGAGTCACAGGCTAAAGCTGTCCACCACCAATCCTCTCTGTCTTCAATGGTTTATTGGTTTTCCATCTTTCTTGCCCTCACCATACTACTACTGTTCATTAACCTTGTCAATCATTCTGTTTCTATTTTGAGATCTTCCTCATCAACCTGTTCCCCCTCTAACTGATGTCAGACATGCTGCCCTCATCCCACCGACCAGCTGGTAAGTTTGGGACCCTTAGGGGCCTCTCTGTCACAACTTGCAAGCCTTTGGGCACAATTTTCTGCAGACAGATGGGTTATTTAAGTTCTTACCCATGGGCTGTCTCTCCATTTCTCTTTCCCTTCTGCAATCTCGCCCAGTCTTGTTTCATCCTCCTTCTGATACTGTCTACCTTCACAAGGAGGCAGTGTTGGATCTCTTGAAAAAACATGCCATGAAGAGAGTTCACAACCTCTCTCTAGGGTATTACTCTCGATTATTTGTGATCCCCAAAAAGCAGGGAACTGGCATTCAGTTATTAACCTTTCTTCACTTGTAAGGTAAGAAGTATTTTATACTTGACATGAAAATCATCTTACACTTGAACTATTCAGAGTCTGAGTGCAAAAAAAACTACAATAAATAATGAATTTTTACTAGAAGTAGTAGAAAAAAAATTAAATATTTTATTTTTTGGAAACTACATACCTTTAAGACAGTTCATGTCAAGTTTCAAACACGTTCATCCACTAGTTTTATTTTTGAAACAAAATATTATGAACATTATGTTACATCCTTGCAGTGTAAGGACTTGGTAGCCAAAGGGTTAGAATACACTCCTCTTCTTGTGGCTGGAGTTAGTCCTCTAGAGTCTGATGGTAGATTTGAGGCATGTACACACTATGTAAAAAAAACCTGATGTCTCACTAACATGCCCTCCTTCTGCAGCTGAAACCTGTCCCGTAAAGTCTGATGGTAGAGTTGAGGTGTGCACAAGTAAAGTTATTCAGTATTTCATGTGCCCTTCTACAGCTGGAGTCTGTCCTGTAGAGTTGAGGTAAGCACATACAATATACAATTGTGATGCAACACTACTGTATTATCCTACCACAGAGTTGAGATATGCTCACAGATATTTATTACATATGCCCTCCTCCCACAGCTGTAGTCTGATGGTAAAGTTGAGATGAACACGCAAGGTACAGTCTGAACCTGCCCCAACCACACTACACACTGATTATCTAACAACTTGTATGCAAGTACTCAGATAGTCATATCCCAATTCTGCCTGTCCCTGCAGCATAACTTGGCTTCTTTGCCTTTTCCCGTCTTCTTATACAGGTGAAGAGTATATACTGGACAAGACAAAATGAGGTCTTTTAAGGGTGTGTCCCTATGGAGCCCCTGCCATTGGGTGCCACACCCCTTGAGCTTCCTTTGGGCAGTTTCTGACGGAAGCTCATCTAGGTAATTTTTACACCACATCAATATGGAAGTCTAGCTAAATGTATAAGAAGAGGTGGGATATCATCTCCAAAGTTGACATTGTCCTTACCTGAAAATATTTTTCCCGATAGATACCTTCCCATCTATTCTCCCCACTTCCAGTACATGTTTCATACTTCCTAGTGAAAGAATGAAGTCCATAAGTGTAAATGCATAGGGAGAATAATTGCTCATGCAGATGTGTCATACTCCTGTTGGTGGAGGTCTTTTGATACATGATGATGTCATCAATGCATTGGTGCAATTCACATAAAATCATGTGGATTTAGGTGGAAGTTGCTTCAAAGCTCGTGCATACAAATCTCTGACAGACATGCAAGGAGGATAGCTAAATCTATGTTCAGAGGTGAGTATCTATTGGGAAGGGATTTGCTTACATTAAATTAAAACTATTTGTGTCTTTTAAACCAAAACAGTTCTAGTGATAATTGGACATGCTATCATTTGCTCCATTTTTTTAGCTGGATCTCAAGCAAGCATGACTTCAGAATCTGATTCTGATGATGATTGCTCAGTTGGAGAGGATTGGAGGAAAGTGAGTATATATTTTTTATTACATATGTGTGTTAAGATAAAATACAGTTATTGTGTATTATAAGTTCATAAATAGACTAAAAAAGCCAGTGTAAATCTAAAATATAAATACAGTGCTTAATATCTGACACGGCAATTAGTGCAAGAGACAAACCACTAACCATAGAACTTTTGAGTTCAAATATCACCTCAGTGTAGTTGTAATCTTAGAGATAAAGAGTAATAACCAAAATTGCTTTAGGAATATTGGAAAATTTGCTATGGAGTTAACCCTAAGCTTACAGGTCCCCTTTCTGTACATGTCAAGAGATTTTTACTTAGTTACATTCAGTATTTAATTACACCAGTGAAATTAGCATAAAGATTTACATTAAGTTTTATATTATCTAAGTTTTATTTCCTTTATTTCAAAAGAACTTTTAAATAAAAATTCTTAAACTTCAATTTTGCACAAGTTCACAATCTTAACTTTTTGTGTCTGTAACTTTAATACTTATTCACATACACTATACTTCCATGTATAGACAGAAACTATGTTAATTGCTCTATTTACACATTCTTCTTTCAAGCTTCTTAGGGCATGTTTGGAGAAAGGAGAACTAAATATGAGTGAACAAGATGACATACTACACTTATACTGAATGTTTTAAGAGGCACCTCCCAAAAACAGTAATTTGTTGTTAAAAGAAAAACTGTTCTAGATTGAGGAAGAACAGCAGTATATCCGTCATTCACATTTGATGTGTTTGAAAGCATCCAAATAAGAAATAAGTACTTTTGAGTTCAGATCTTATTATTTTTCATGTCATTGGTCATACAATCAGCTAGTGTTTGAAGACACAGAAAAGCTCACAGATAATTTCGTGTGACCGTGTTGGTTGCTATGATTCTGATACTTTAATATCATATTTCAGTGGTACACTGTGAACGTGTCTCAGTTTAGCCAATGAAACTTTGTTTTGTTGATAGAAAACCAGTACAATGTATTCAGTACGAATTAACTTTTTATTGTCCAGTTTTAAAGAATTAAAATACAGCATCAGCCCACTTAACAGTTCCCTGGCGGACTGTTTGGCAGCATTTTTCAGATGTGAAGGGCTGGTTGTATATTGAATTCTATATTCCCATCCTTTTCAACGTAAGTGTGCTATCCACATTATTGATGGTTTATCTAGTAGAAAATAAGGACGTCCTTAAGGTATCACCTAACCCGTCGATCAGATGATCACTGTCTACCTTTACATAAAGTTCTATATAAAGCAGTATTCCCAAGAAAAAAGTGTATGTGACACTATAATGGAATGACCCATGATAATAGGTAACTAGGACAAAAGTAATGTAGCCAAATTTCATGAACAACATTCTACCTTTAAGACTGCACACATGGCTAGAAATGTATATATGTGTGGAAAATTTTGAAGCTTCTAGGAGAACAGGAAACACCTTACTAAACTAAAGAAGACAGAGAATACTGAATTTGTTTTGCATACTACAGTGATAAAATGTGCATTGGGAAAGAATATTTTAAATAGTGAATTGTATTTGATTTGAACATGGTTGAAAGTAGGTTTAAAACTTTTCAAACATTGTTTGTCTTTGAGCGAAATTGGATAAATTTAAAAACCTGTGTTTTAATTTTATAATTTCAAAAGGTTTCAAATTACTAAAGTTTTATAATAAGACCAGACATACCTGGAGTTTGATTAGCATTAAAAGGCATTTTTTTAGCATTTTCTCAATTATAAATACCCCTTTATTTGCCAATTTTTATGTTACTTGTGCAGTGTTAGATCTTTTCTGTATATATATTTTTTTCTTGAATAGACTATTCAGGTAGGATCAGACTTCCAGGCAGTTGTTCCTCAAGGGCTTTGTAAATATGATGATGCACCAGGTATGTCACTTGGTTTAAAATATATTTCACCAGTAACAACTAAAGAAAGGTTTAAATAATGATTATTTATTAACATGTCTTTTAGGTATTTGTTGTGATTGTGTATAAGTTGGGGGTGAAGGGAGAAAACAGCATGAAAATTATCAGTTCAATATTAAAAATTGGAAGTTTCTCTATAAGATACTAATGGAGTGTTAAATTTAAGTCTTAGAAGATTTTGTATTGCATTGGTTTTATGTTTTCTGGTTATGTGTCATTAAATGTTTATGTAAGTAATGGAAAGAAGTGTGACATAACTGTGTAGGTGAAGTCAAATGATTTTTTTAATAAAAAATATTTCCAAACAGTTACACAAAAGTGAACAAAGAAAGATATTATGACTATATTATCTGTGATTAATAAGTTCTAGTCAGATACAAAGCCAACAGAAACAAATTCACTATTTGAGAATAGGGAAACATAATTTCTGTTGATTAAGGTCAAAACATTTGAATATTCATCTGCATTCAGTTCTCTCCAATACCAGAAACATGCATGTGTACATCATGATTGTTTGGCTGTATATTGTGACAGTTCTCCACCTTATATGTATATAAAGTGAACAGTTTAGTGCTTATCATAGTCATATATATATATCAACAAATTAATGTTAAAGAAGTCTAAGAAAGATAAGGCGATGCATCTTGATCAATGAAACTACTAAATTACAAGATTCAGTTATTCATAAATGTTTTTAATTTGCATATTTTAGTTGTTTTTGATAGTGTCATTTTGCTGCTGGCAACGTTAAAAGTATGAGTAATAACTAAGGTGGCTACGATGTGCATCCTTTTTGTTGTTGTTATTGTTACAAGTTTCATGTTTTTCATGAGTGGCTACTGCTACCAAATTGGTATTTAGCTAATTTCATTAGTCATTAGACTAGTTAGGTAGTTATTGACCATTTCTCTGACTAATAACCTAATGTTTCAGTTTCATTCAAGTGTTACAGTTAAACTATTTGAAGAATGTTACAGCTAGAAACATTGTGCCTCAACTATTTGGAAAATAGGAATATTTTTATGTAGTCTTCATTTGGTAAAATGTATTTTACCAACTCTATCTAAATGTTACTATTATTCAGTACTTAAGCCTAAAATTACCATTTTTATATTTAATGAATTATAAATATCCAGGTGTCGGTTCAAACATCATAAATAACTATACATTTTCTAACCTTTTTAGGCCTAATATAAAGTATAATTTATAAAATGTGGTGGTCTGTGTATATTCAGTACTTGAGCTGTCTGACAGGTATTGAGGTAACATTATTTGTATAACTAACTGGAAGCTATGTAACTGAAACTTGAAGTACAAGTCAATATATTAAAGGAGTGAATAAATAATATCCGAGATCTCTTTAAAATTTAGGAAATCATTGTATAAAAATGATTATCAAGTATAATAGCCAATGTGTGTGTTTGTGTTCCTAGGAATAAAGGTGCAAAATTTTTACATTTCATTGGTTATCTTTATTACTAATGAATATATATATATATATATTTAATAAATATTTAAAGTTGCCCTATTATTTAAGGTAATGTGATGAATTTTTTATTTATTTATTATATATATATCAGAATCCAAAATTTAATTTTTAGTTGTATTTGTAGAAGAAAGAACAACTTAGTATGAAACAAGTAACATGATTTTAACTGTCACATTATAGTATGCAAGATTTCCAAGGTTTTTTAATATCATAGAATGATCAGTCAAACCTTTATAAAACAGCATGAATAAAAGTTCCACTAAAAACTGTAAATAGTTAGCCTGTTAAAAATTAAGTAACACTAAAGATAACTGTCATAGCCTTTGCTATTTAGCTACCGAAGAAACACGTTTTAGTAGACATGCAGTGTTGAACTTAATGCTCTGGATTAACCCCCTTGAACTGTAAACTGGGTGTAAATGTTGAAAGAAATTGTTTATATTTTCTTGATGGTGGTGTATCAAGTATAAACTCTGTTTAACTTATTTCTTGTGTAATATTTTACATAAATAACATCAGACCAGTTTAAAAGGCAGCCATAATATATATTGTTAGCATATCAGATAATGGCTTGAATTTGATGTGTTAGCTTTATAATTCTAAAGTTTTAAAAGTACCTAAAATACCTCAGTGCTTAAACTAATAACTAAAGTTAGATAAAAGAATACCTGTTTAGACTGCCTCTGGATTGGACGTAATCAAACAGTACACTGGATGCGAACTTGGTCCACCTATTTGTGTTGCACCTATTTATAGCTTGTTATGCTTATAGTCTGTTAGAGGAATAATAGCTTTTATATATAGCTGAAAAGTTTATTTATAATAAGTTTTAAATTTTCCCCAAATTCTGTAGTTCAAATTACTTACATATAAATATACATTTCCCATTCAAGTGTAATAATATTAGTAGTATTATATTCCTTTAAAACTCCATATGAATATAAAGTAACACTATGTTTTAGCTAGCTAATATATATCAGTGTGGTATCTATTCCTGTAATAAAAATATTCCAGTTCTTAGCTTTCATGCAGACCTTGCATAAAATTCATAATTTTCTGCATTATATTGTAACCATGGACATATTTTGTCAACAACCTCTGTACGCATAAATTCAACATTAGAAAATTGTTTCTTGGCTTACATCAAGTTACTAGTTGAAAGAATCTGAAATACCTTGTTACAATAAATATTGGTAAAAAGTTGTTTTTGTGAATATGTTGACTGCTATGTGAGATTATTTTATCTCACTGCTAAGCAAGCTTTAGTCCCGAATAGCCTGCCTTTCTCGTCATAAGAATGATTATATCTCACCAGTAGTTTGAAAAGATATAATTATGTCATAAACATGTTTCTGTAGATGGACAGTTTGATATTTAGATCAGCAAGGAAAATGATGTTCTGTTACATGTAAAAAATCTTATCAAAGATGTGACCAGCAAAGAGTATTCCCTATGGATAACAGTATTCTGCTAAATCTAATTCACCTATTTAATAATGGTACAGTTAGTGCAGAGCTTTGGGCACACGTAGTATTTGTCTTGTGGTTTCGTAGACATTTCTTGTACGAGGAAAATTACCTCAGGAGATTAGCATCCATTCCAGCAAGCCTTCAAAATTTATCATAAGTTATATATGATACCTTAGCTAACTTGGACTTTTGTACATAAATGTATGTAACACTTGAATTTTTAACATTTTCAAGGTCTTCTTTTTCGTTAAGATAAATGAAGTGATATAATAATATTTATTGTATATATATTCTGATAAATGTAATGAAAAAATTCAGTTAGAGTTGTAGAAATCCTGTATTAGCACATTACCCATCTTATAAGTACTTATTGTTTTTTTGTTCTTGGTTATGACTATAGTTGCTCATTTACTTCTAATTACAGAATGTATGTGCATTTATCACATATATAGTAACTTTTAGAAAGTTTTGTGTACTTGTGCTAGAAATCTAACAAAACCTGTTATAATGATTATTTATAATAAGCAGCTTTAAACTTCTGAGCATGAAGTACTGTAATTATTAACAATATATATAACAAACTTCTATTTCATATATCAAATTAAAATTTCTATTTCATTGTGAAATCTGCTTTAATTATAAAAATGATATTTAGTTTATATATGATAAAGTTACATGATATGATACTGATTTGATATTAACTGTAGTTTTAGAACAAAAAACCAGCTAATTTAGTTCACATCATAACAGATGTTATTGAACAGTGTGTTAATAAAATAGTAACTCAACCACTACTATGTCTGTCATATCCCAGTGTGAAAAGCCCTGGTGTTAGAAAAAAGGCCTCATCAGCACTGGATGTAGAAGATATAATGAGATAGACATATTATTATACACTCTTTTACTTTAACTCTGAAGTGTTTATTGGTAATTATAATTTTTTATAGGCTGTTAATAATTTCTTAGTTTTTTTTTTGTATCTTGGAGAGCTTTTTTTTCTCTCCCATAATTTTACAAGATGCTGTAAACACATTACTGACTTCTTCAAAGAACCTGATTGCAGAATAGGCAAAAGCTGGGAAATAGAAGAAAATGAACCACTGTATTCTCAAAAAATTAATACTGTTTGTACTCTGGGTATAAGCTAAGTTTGATCTCAAATTTCAGTGCACGTGGTTATTGCAGTACAAATGACTAGAATAGTCCGACGAAGAATGTATGCTTTGTAGTTTATGCCATAAATGTGGCAAGGACAATCCCTTTACATCAAAAATTAGATGTGTTAATTTTCTCACATGAACTCTGACTAGCCATGCAATGTAAAATGACCATTGTTCCATACTTTGACAGTATCGTGTAGTCTAAATTTTTGGTTGCTCATTCCAATGGTATAAGAATAATATTTATTAAATAACTGAACTTTTCCTCTCTTTTTGGGTCTGTTTTGACTGCAATGGGGGTGCTCCCCCTCTTCGGCAAAATTCTGGCAGTATCTCTGTCTAGATCAGTGGGTCAAAGCCTTTTTCCAACTAAGGACCAGCTAGTTCATGGCCCAAAATTTCATGGACTGCTTTGGACAATATTAAATTTTTTAAGTATTTTTATATTACATTGTAAGACAATATACTTCATTAGCTATATTTTAAAACACTTTTTTTTTTTCATCCACCGTGTGGACCCACACCAGTCCATGAACCACTGCCCTAGATTAAACCTGTTTTAGAAAATACTCATGTATAAATGAGTATATGCTGGTTTAAAAATGACAGTTAAAACCACTGATATAATTAATGATGTGTCAAATAGCCTGATAACTTACTGATTACTTGGTTTAATTTAAATATTTTACTTACAATATAACATTCAAGCTTTTCCTTTGTAGCATATGAAAATGAAGATAGACTGTTATGGGATCCAACAAAACTTTCAGACAAAGAAGGTATCTTTTTTTCTTCTATGTTTAATATATGATTTTCTAATAAAACAGGATATGTTTCATAATTAAAATATGTTGATCATTTTAGAACCAGGTAAAATCGGTATAAAATATTCTAGTCCAAGTATTCTGTACATTAATTGCTTCCAGTCATATAGGACTGTAATCTTATAATAAAAATTAAAATGTGATTACTTAGTAAATTAATTGATTTGAATTTAAATTAAAGCAAAGCAGTTATTTGGCTCACTTAAACTTGTATGTTTTCACTTTTTTTTGTGGAGTTAATTGGATGTAATTATTTTATTGTTTTATATTGAAAGATTAAAAAATTATCAGTAATATTAAACTAAACACAATATATGAGGTAGCTCATGGTGGTACATCTATTGGATATTGTCACAAATTTACTTTTTTAGTAGTGTATATAGTAATGTAAGTATATGGGTGTGTTTGACTCAGGATTCTTCTACAGTAGGTGTTTATGACTTGTTGGCCATAAATTCAAAAAAATAAAGAACAACATGCACTTCACTTGTTTTCAAAATAATATATATATTTAGAACTAGTACAAAAATTCCTTACACTATGCAGATCATAGGCATATCATCAACACTATAATTCTATTGTCAAAAGTCCACGTAGGCCAATTCAATTGCTTTAGAATTTAGTTTACAAGCCAAACTATTTTTCTCTATTTCTATCACCAGACTATGTGTATAGTTTACTTACATTGTTGTTGAATTAACGTGGTTGTATCCTGTACTTCAAAAATCGTGTGCTATTTGTCAAAGTCCACTCAGTCTGGTTTAATTACTTTAGAACACCCTTTGATGAGACAACTTATTCTTCTTATCTCTCACGAAATTGTTAATCTCACTCGAACATATCAATTGTTAGGCCTTTCACTCCCACAACAATTAACTTTGCATTCTTTTCTCTGACTGAACTTTTCCTTTCTGTGACTTTACTCTCTTCTGCTCTGCTCTTTTTTTCATCTGCTTGCCACTATTTATATGTCTATCACGTAGGCCTTCTATAAATCTCTATATCCTCAACATCAATACAACATACGATTCTTACCAAGTTACATAACCAAACTTGTCATAACTATCGCCTTTAAAATAATTGCTAAAATAATCATGAAATGTTCACTCACAAAATAATTAATGATACCTACACTAAACAGTCTTTTATATCTGAAAAATATGCTAAAGCAACTTATAACTGAATCATTTTTAACTAAAAACATTGATTCTTTATGTTTTATTGCTTAATCTTTGTTTATGAAAAATATATAGTACGCATCATCACAAATGAAGTTTGAAAGTTTTTTTTTAGTAAGGTGAAGTATTTCAATATGACTGCTAGTCTGGCTTTAGCACTCAAACCAATGAAAGAAGATGTTACAGCAATGTGTAATAAATCTATATAAAATTATGAAAACAAATATAAAACAAACTACATATATGTGCTAAAGTAAATTCAAACGTTGTTCATACTACAAAATGTAATTCTTTAGGCATTTAGTCTATAATCTTGTTGAACATTCCCAGGAATTGGGAGACTTCACGTAAGGCATGAGAATTTTACAGTGATCGATGGACTTTTGCTTTTATGGATTATCTTGTTCTTTCCATCTTTCCCATATAAAATGTAAATGATTCACCAAATGCCAAAATATCCAGCCAACAACAAATGAGTTTAGATTAAGCTAGTCACATGTCAGTAAGATGAAATTTGATTGACTGTCCTTTGTAACAGTATACAACTACTGATATTTTTACAAATTTAATAGATGCATGCACTGTTTCAGTAGTGTTAGAAAAGCATGTATTCAAAATGACAAACAAATAAAAAAAGATATGGCAACAATTATCAAAACAAACAATGAAGCTAGAGCCAAAAAAATTTACAAGAGTGTAAGAAAGTGCTTCACCTCTCTTGCATCCACCAGTAAATTCCACTAGCCGTGGGTGAGAGCCTGAAACCTCCTCCCCCCCCCCCACGATTTTTCAGCCTTTTTTCCCTTGCAAATTCTCATTCTTTGCCAAGTGGTCAGTGAGATTGTTGTGTGATTCCACTTACTTCTGTTATCTTACTCCTGAAATCAATCATTGACTTTCTGATGTGGCTAGAAGCTTGTGAGCCTTCATCAGCTTTAGATCCTTCTTTATTAGTGTAGCTTTCATTGTATAGATGATATTATTGTCCTTGTTTGGGTAGGAGTATGGTATTGAAGCTTGTTACTGTCCCAAACATGCTGGTAAACAAAGTTTTTCCACTTCCACTGATGATTTCCTTCTTTAGCTCTTCATTATTTAGAAATCTCACTGCATGAACATTTCTTTTCAGAAAGGTTTTGTATATTATTCTGATACAACTTCAATATACACAAATTATTAACACAAAACACAAGTCTCAGTATAATATGTGGATTTTACTCAGCTGTGTGTTTTATAATCTGAAAATATTTTAAGATGTTTCATAATAATAGCAGTAAAAAAATTATAAATACTTTATTTATAAACTTTTGCATTCTTTAGATGAATTATGAAGATTTGAATTTATTATATAATAATGATCATCAAAAACTGAAGGGGGAAAAACTTCAGTGATAGTTTTATTATGCAATGTTTTCCAGTTGAACTATATCTGCAACAAGCTCAGTTCTCTCATTCTAATATACAAGGTGTTCAAGCTATTCCTGTAGGAAGTCATATTCGTGATGATGAACAGGTAAACTTTAGGCTTTTATTTTAAACTTAATATTAAAATCATTGACATTTGAGAATTTAATTAATTTTATGTTTTTTGGTTATTATTATTATTATTCAATATCTCCCTATATACTATCTTGAGTCATTTTTAGAAATTATTGTAATTGTACATGTAAATAAAAAAAATGGAGAAAGACTTATTTGTGAAGGATGTTTTATCCAAAAAAAGCTGTTCAAGAACAAATAATAAAGTATGAAAATGCAATTTTAATTTAGTAAAACCAACAAATGAATTTAACCTAAGGTATTCTTAAAACAGTGTCTTGCATGATCTGGTGTTTAGGGCACTCAAATTACAGTCTGCAGGTCACGGGATCAAATTTTGTCACTGAACATGCTCGCCATTTCAGCTATGGAAGCATTATAATGTGAAAGATAAACTCTTTATTCATCGGTAAAGAGTACTCCAAGAATTGGCAATGGGTGATGTTAACTAACTGCCTTCCCTCTAGACTATTACTAGAAATAGGGATGGCTAACACAGATAGCCCTGAAGTAGTTTTGTATGAAATTCAACAAATAAATCGTAAAACTAAAATATCGTAATCGTGAAAGTCAAATTCTGGTCAATAAGTCAGTTGTTCACGCTCGATTTCTCCAAATTTCATGAGTTCTGCAAGTCCAATTCCACTTTTTATCCTATAATACTCTTTTCATTGCCTGTTCCCACTTGAGTTGAATTTAATTGCTAACAAAGGTGTAAGTAGCTCCTAAATTTTGGCACTTTTTCTGCTATATTAAAGTTTGTCAAGGATTTATTTAGCACCGAGTGAAATTAATCTTCCATTTGTTAGGAAGAGAAGTTCTTGAACGATGATCAAATATTTACAAGAAATGTGGTTTTAAGAGAACTATTGCAATAATGCAATTGATGTGATTAGAAAATAACTGTGATCAATGAATGCTGGAAAGAAAAACTCTTTAGGTAAAGTAGAGATTGCTCATAATAGGCTTTGGAGGATTCAAATTTGATAGGCTTTAATTTCCCATCATTTTTGAAGGGTTTTTATATTAGTTGTTTATATAAAGATCCACAAGTTGTATTACCTATAACAGAATCAAAACAAACAGTCATTAGAAAGGAAAATTACTGTGCTAAGGGAACCAAACTTTTAATTGTGCTTTTATATTCACATGATCAGTGAAAATATTTATAACTTTTATGTCTTTTGGCTAGTAGCAGTGTTCAAGATATTCAAAATACAGAAAAAAGCTAAAAGTAACAATATTTTTAGATTTTTCAGACTACATAATATTTTACTACTAACCCAACATTTGGTTGCTTTTATATACAGTTATTGTTTTCAGTTTAGTGTTTTTGCTGTAAAAACGTACTTTATAGTTCAAACTATGCATTGTATAAGTTTTTAAAATTACTTGCATTTAAATTTAAATTTTAAACCTAACACATTTTCACACAGCAGTAAAACTGTTATCAATATATAGTGTTTTTTTTAACTAATGAATTGATAGGATTCTTAGATATACACTTGTGTATTGAAGACCTATTTAATAATAAGTTTTCTCATTTTTCCAGCAGAACATATAAAATTTACTTACACCTGCAGTTTTAATATGCATTTTGTACCATTTAATATCACGAAAGCCAGTGTACTGCTAAAACATCTTTCACTATAGTTATTGGTGATGTTTAATAGTTGTTGTTTTTTGTTTTCTTTTCTAAAGGTTATTCATAACTAAATTTCATAAAATATAGTAAATTTTGTATCTGCTATTGTGATTGTGAATCTTGGTTCAACTTCTAAAAATATTGGATGATTCATAACTTTCTAGTATATTATAGTAATAAAGAGATTTTTTATTTCAGGCATTGTATTTGTTACTACAATGTGGGCATAATGTAGAAGAGGCTTTGCGTAGAAGACGAATGCAGCCATCTCAAGTAATTGGTTGGTAGTGTTTTTATAACAGACTGAAATATTTGTCTTCCTTAAATGTTTGTTTGTATACATGTGTCAAAAAGTTAATTTTATAATGTGTGTTTTTAGAATAAAGTGGTTTTGTTACAAAGTAAAATTCTGTTTTCAGAATAACTTTTGAATGGTAGTTGTGGCTCATCAAAGTTTAACTCTCTCAACACATATTCAGTTAACTTGACCAAACACGTGACCTATTTGTACTCATTCAAAGTCCTTATAGGTTTGATACTACTAACTTTTAATATAGTGTGTGTATCTTCACAAAAGTTGGCAGTCTTTCAGTAAACATTACAAGTCCTTCACATACAAAAAATCATATTTCTATTGAAGTATTTTTAATAAACTAAAACTAGATGTACCCTTGAATATATCAAGTATTTGTTTTGAATAGTACATGTGCAAAGTAACCTTAACTAACCTAAAGAGATCCCTATTTTTACATTTTATTTACTTTTATAATAATAAATAAAGAATAAAGATGAAAAACAAGAAATAGAGTAATTACCCAATCTTCTTTTTCCTTGGTGTCGATTGTCAATCACACTTAACCCTACTTTTTTATACTAATTGTAGTAATGCACTACATTTTTATTTAATTAAATAATGCACCAAAGAACATAGTCTAATAACATGCAAAAAGTAGACAATTTCTCCTAACTCTCACAACTTTTCTGGCTTTCTAACTATGCGACAAGAGCAATTACAAATTCTTCCAAGCTAGTCATTAACTTTCCCATAGGAATGAACCATATATTATAAGGAAAATTGACGCTTATCTTTTCAGAACATACTGTCATACAATACTTCATTTGATAGATGAAAACCTTTGCTTTCTATTGGTTATAACCCCTCGATGTGGATTCCTGAACATGGTGAGGGAACCTCCCAGGGAAAGTTCTGTATTTTC